GAAATCTTCCCATCCTGCACACTAGCGTTAATGGTAGCTCTATTAATTTTAGGAGGGCCACCCCGTATAAAAATTACATTTAAACCTTGAAACTGTCCGTTTAATGATCCTGAATATTGAACTGTTTTTTCCGTTATTGGCATAGACACAAATCGATATGTCTTGGGACCCTCTAAACTAAATGAGTTTGATTGTTTACTATTTTTAGAATCGGGTACTCCATCTTTTACAAGTGGCACCGGTGGATGTGGTATATTCAATGAAAATTTTTTTATGAGCAAGTCAACAACACTACCTTCTTCGATTAATTCGGAATTTGTTGATTTGCCATATAGGTGAATACTCCAAGATTCATTTTCAATTTTACGTAATTCTTGACTCGCGGTTAGGTCATGTTTTAGTAAATTAACAATTTGAATGTAATCTCGAGGATAAAGGATCTGACTTGGAAGTATATTAAGTCCATTCTCTTCTAATATTTTTCGATATTTTTTAACATATATTGTTACCGCTCGAGGACCTAGGCAGTTGAAACATGAAGTCGAGAAAGTTTCAGAAAGTGCATTTTCCATGTATTCTCGGAACATTGCACGTCCTTTACGAAAACGCATGACCCCATTCGGTAAATATGTGCCATTTATGTCTAATGTCCATTCAAGATCTGCTGGCATACTAGAAAAGTCCGAACCAATAAATTCCATCTGAGTATCCGGTGGAGCACGAATCCAAAGAGCGTCCATGTCCATATACATTCCACCATATTTATACAGGAGAACACTTCTAATATAATCGGCAAGATAATAAGGGAAAAATTGTGCATTTTCCCATTTTTTCCAATCTAGGATCCAATTTTTAGAATTTATACCAAGGAACCACTGTCGTTTTAGTAATGACTCTTGATCAAAATTAATGATATGAATTTGATAACCTTGTTTTTGGTATTCATTAAAAAATTGTTTTGGAAGAGTGTTTGTAACAACAAAAATAATTGCATTCGGGGTATGCACCCAAACAAGCTCAATTGCATTGTAATGTCGTTCTTGAAAAGTTGATTGATCAGTTGTCCAGACCATCCAATGTAGTAAATACCATTGGTCTGTCTGCGAATAAACTGAAGAGTGTTGAGAGAGAACACCTGGTATTATCCACTCATCCTCTTTACTTCCCATTTTTGCTTCTATCGATTCATCAAATACTAATGAAGATTCCTTTGAAGGATCGATTACTAAAAAATTATCGTGGTGAAGTAAGGTGATACCTTTTACATCATCACAGTCAAAATTCCAATCTTTCCAATGGTTATCTCTTCCTTCACACGGATAACATAAAGCACAGAAACGTTGTCTAAATCCTTCACATAGACGCCTATTATTGATGACATTTTCGTACATATCAATCATACTTCGATCAGGGTCATAAGTATCACTGAAATGTTTTGCAATCATATCATCTTCACACACATCTGCTTGTTGTATGCGCCTATCATGAATTGGTTTAATATTATAAGGAAAGAGCCATATGCCCAAATTTTGATCTTCATTTTTCGTGAAAAGACGTGGTGAATCTGTAACAACTAGTGAAATAACATCATGAGATAAAATATAGAGCGCACCAGCTGTGAAAGGTGGAAACATAGGTAGTGGGTACTCAAGTTCAGAATTCTTATTTGCAGTGCTTTGAATTGGAGGAATATTCCTATTAAATTTTAATTTAATTTAATTTAATTTAATTTAATTGTTAATGAAAATGCAAAATAATTAAAATAGCCTTTACCAATATCCTAGTCCTTTCCAATAATATTTTTTTCCTGGACCCAATTCGCCCAATTCTTGTACGACAGTGTCAATACGTACAAATACATCATCATCTGTTTTAATCAGGTAATCAAAATCATGTTTATCCGCCCATTCGAAACTCTTATAAACCTTGTGACTGAGGTCATTATAAAGATCTGACGATGGAACAATGATCATGTCACCATATTTCTCAGATTCTGCTAGAATTTTTTTCCCCATAACATGCTGCGTTTTTGCCGAAGGTTGAACTCCGAGAATGAAACGGTAGACAATAGAAACTTTATCATAATTCTGAGGAATCAATTTTATTGATGTATCACGGAATTGTTGTCGTTTAAAAAAACCACTTTCGGTCCATGATGACAATACTAACATTATTACTTTAATTTCAGCACCATCATGAATTTCGCTAAGTGACATATTAGAGTTCAATTTGTAACTAACAGGCCTTATATTTGATCTATGTCTAAACTTTGATTGCTGATCGAGAAGACACATCATAGTAATAAATGATGTAATCGCTATAGGAATTACAATACATCGAAAAATATCCCTCCACGTTATTTGCCTAGATGCTTCAGGATCGCCAGATTTATAATGCTTTGTAGTTGATGTAAATAACCATTGGATAATGTTACTAATAGCTAAAACTACGCTACATATCACCCAAGTCCAAACTGGTTCATCATGCCCGTAATGTGAGATTACAAAAGCTGTAACAACCCAATTAATTGCTTGCAAGGAAATGAGACGGATTATTGCACTAGTAACTTCATAATAAAAGAGCCATCGACGCATAAGTCCATCTGCCAGCCAATAACTCCAAAGACCGGCCAAAAGGCACTAAAAATGAGTAGCCGAAAAGTAAGTTGAGGCAATTTATCGTAAATTTTTTTAGTCCAACTTTTCCGCTTTGCATATGAGGTACAGATCGAGTTGAATTCTTAAATCCTGAAACTTATTTTATAAAATATAAAGATTCAAAATTATTAATAGTAACAAAAGATAAATATCAGAAAATGTTAATTAGTAACATTTCATACTCCATGATACGCACTTTACACAATCTACTCATCGTTACAGTTGTTTATAAACTTACAATAATATTGATCTTTTAGGTTGATCAAAGATCGTTTATCTATATAATTCGTAAAATAGAAAATACTTACCCACATAGCACCTAACCAATAATCCAATTTGGTACTTAATTCCAATACGTTACCTCCATCTCGTAAAGAAACTTGATTGGCAGCATAGATAAAGGAAATAAAACAATAACTGGCTGGAACTAAGCTGAGACCTCTAAGTAAAAAAAGAATACTGTGAAGTCTTCGAGGCACCCCGATTCCTATTGAACGACTTATACCAACTCCTATTGAATTTCTGACAGTTGGGAGATGTGACCACTTTGACCAAAAATATTTGAAAATTAGAGAGAATTTCGAATTTCGAAACTTCCAATCTCGAAGTTCATTAGTTCATGAAATGCGTAGTTACCATTTTGAGAAATTCAGCTAGCTCGTATGAACGTAGCAGCGTCCGTCGGTTGATGGACAAAGTTTAAATTATGATGCAATGTGTATAAGAAACTTTGTTCTATCTTTTTTTTTTTTCGAGAGAAAGAAAACTTGATTTATACT